AGAGGTAGGTAAGAACTAAGAAATCACATTTTTTGAGTAAATACTCTTTTTTGTCCTTAAGAAAAAATATGGAGCTCAATTTAATCTTTGAAAAAAAATCGACTTGTAATTTCTCTAAAATTTCAGTTCTTTGAAATTACTATCTCTTTGAAATTCAGATAAGACTTTTTTTAATTCCTCAAAATGAACTAATATAAGTAATTTTTTTATTTCTTAAAAAATTGAAATAGATTTTTTTGTGGATATGAATATCATATCCCAACTACTCATCCAAGAATCTACTAAGAGATATATTCATGAGTATCTCAACAACATTAAACAGTCAAAGTACACAAGATAAGGGTCACATCCCAACAGAAAGGGAGTTGAACCCTAATGCAATCTGGGGAGCTCAAAAGGCTCAGGCCTAGGAAGGTAATCCTTATAAATAAGAACCTAAGGACCCCAGGCACACACTTTGAACCTATTTACTAATACTGCCCACACTATGCACACATTCATCCCTTGGCTATAAGCCTATTGCTTGTGCGCAGTGATTGAGACCTCGGCTACAAGCCTAGTATACATCTGATTATACACTATATCTGAGCGCATACCTCACGGTATAGCAATACGGTCTATCCAGGACCGAACATTGGCGCCGTATGTGTGGACGATAAATTTCGATTCACATTCCACGATGACGAACACTCGTTCGACGTCCAGCACTGCCCAAATGTCGCCACACCAATCTCAGCCTCAGCCTTATGGTATGCCGTCACACCAACCTGCATTGGAACAACTCTAATCAGCCGCGACCCCTGTGCTAGTAGAGGTCCAGGTCGGCGAGGTCGGCACTCAAGGACTGCCCTCCAGAACCCAGCCCAACACGACAGTGTGCCCAATGCGCCCACCTCCACATAATGAACAATCCAGGGACATAACCACTGTGGCCATGAATGCGATCCTCCAAAGGGTGCAGGAGATGGAGAACAGATTCTTGGCTCAACAAGGGCTGAATGCCCAGAGGATGGAGGCGCTGGAGGCTGAGCTGCGAAATCAAAACCTTGTGGGACGAGCTGGAGGAGAAGGCCGAGCTGGAAGCGCAGGCCAGGCTAATGAGCCACAACATCAAAACGCGGCCACGACAGAAGGAAATATGCAGAATCCCCGCCATGATAACCACTAGGAGGGCGGAGGACCAGTCAACAACCAAGGAGATATTTATCTCCTTGATGAGGAGGCTAACGATAGCCCATTCACTGAAAGGCTCAAGAACTTGGCAATACCGCCGAGATTTAAGAGTGCCAAGATACCACCGTACGACGTAAGTCAAGACCCGGAGGCCCATTTAGAGGCTTTCAAGACCGAAATGTTGTTCAATGGGATAACTGGACCTATCAAGGCCAGAATCTTCGCGACGACGTTAACAGGCCAGGCAATGGCCTGGATAACCAGGCTTCCCAGGAACTCGATTGACTCGTTCGAGGACCTAGCTCGAACCTTCCGGTTGAATTTCGCAACAAGCAAGGCGCATCTAATGCCGGCTACACCTTGGGAAGAATCCGACAAAAGGAGAATGAATCATTGAGGAAATACCTCGATAGGTTCAAAGATGCTGCCCTAAAGGTTCAGAATTTAACTGAGCCAGTACACTTGCATCTGATTATCTCGAGATTAGATGGCGATTCTCCACTGGCGAAGTCAATTTACTTCTCTGGGACGCTTTTCAAAGGATGAACCTGGACGAGAAGGACTTGAAACCATGCATCACTGAGCTGGTCGGGTTCAATGGAGCGTCATCCCCCCAAAGGGCTACATTAATTTGAAGCTGACCTTAGGGACGAAGGACTCATTCCGTGCTGGAAGAGTTTATTTTGTCGTAGTAGACACCGAGTCGTCCTACATTGTGAACATTGGCCGACCTACAATACACGACTGGGACATGTTGATTTCCACCAAGCATCAAGCCCTGAAGATGCCGGGGGCAAAGAACAAAGTTATCACCATAAGAGAGGATCAGAAAGAATCCAGGGAGTGCTACTATGAGACCCTACGAGTAAATCAAGGAGGCCCGTTCTCTCCCCCTCGGCACAAAAATGGAAGAGGTAGGGACCAATCTTTACACCCATGTGGAAACGAAGTAAACTTGGTAGAGCTGGACATGAGGGAGGAGCTCCAAGCCCCTCGTCCAGACGACCTTACACTTGTCGGGGTTGACTTCAATTCCCCGGTTTGTGAGCATGAAGCCCAGGAATTTTTCAACTGGTACTCCAAATACGCATTTGGTCGGGTTCAACCTGATCTTCCGAGCTCTTAGTTGCTCAAAAGTCTCCCTGAGGTCGGCTATATGTGTCGTTATATGCATTGATTTGACGACCACGTCGTCGATGTACACCTCTAGGTTTCTCCCAATTTGCTTTTGGAAAACTCGATTCATTATCCTTTGGTAGGTCGCCCCAGCATTCTTGAGGCCAAAAGGCATGACTTTGTAGAAAATTTTTCCCTTTTCTGAGATGAACGAGGTCTTCTCGTGGTCATCAGGGTGTAGTGGGATTTGATTATACCCAGAGTACGTGTCCATGAATGATAGTAGCTGAAATCCTGATGATTTATCAACTAGCTGGTCAATGTTTGGCACCGGGTATGAATCTTTCGGGCAGACCTTATTGAGGTCGGTGTAGTCCACGCAAATTCTCGACTTCCCACTCGGTTTCTTCACCATCACCACGTTGGACAACCAGGTGGTGTATTGTATTTTCCTGATGAAACCGGCCTCCAACAGCTCGTCCACGTGTTCGTTCAAAGCCTAACGTCGGTCAGATCCTATCTTCCTCTTCTTTTGGGACACTGGCTTCGATCCCGGGTCCATAGAGAGCTTATGACAGCAGAAATCTGGGTCTATTCCCGGGATCTCCGAAGCCTTCCATACGAACACGTCGGAGTTTTCACTTAGGAAAGCAGCCAGCTCCCTTTTGAACTCGTCCTCAAGGCCCTTTCCCACCTTAGTGTGCCCTTTTCCTTCCTTCCTAATGCTGACGTCTTCTAGCTCTCCTTGGGGATAATGAATCGAGTTTTCCAAAAGCAAATTGGGAGAAACCTAGAGGTGTACATCAACGACATGGTCGTCAAATCAATGCATATAACGACACATATAGCCGACCTCAGGGAGACTTTTGAGCAACTAAGAGCTCGGAAGATCAGGTTGAACCCGACCAAATGCGTCTTTGGAGTACCAGCTGAAAAATTCCTGGGCTTCATGCTCAGAAACCGGGGAATTGAAGTCAACCCCGACAAGTGTAAGGTCGTCCTTGAGATGAAGCAATCAGAAAATAAGAAAAAAGTTTAGCAGCTCACAGGCCTCCTGCAGCATTAACCAGGTTCTTGCCTAAGTCGGCGGAAAAAGCCTTGCCTTTCTTTAAGCTCCTTAAGAAAGAGGCAGAGTTCGAATGGGGGGAAGAATGCAAAAAGGCATTCGAAAATATAAAGAATTGCTTAGCCACCTCTCCCGTGCTGTCCAAGCCGGAGCCCGGTGAAACGTTGATCTTATACCTATCTGTGGGCAAAGAGGCCATCAGCGCCGCCCTGGTACGGGAGACCGACAAATCCCAATAGCCGATCTACTTCGTAGGTCAGACATTGCAAGGGCTAGAACTCCGTTACCAGAAGCTCGAAAAGGTTGCATTCGCACTGTTTACCACGGTAAAGAGGCTCCGACCTTATTTCCAAGGTCATCGAGTAATTGTGAGAACAAACCAGCCCATCAGGCAAGTACTAGACAAGCCGGATCTAGCTGGGAGGATGATTAACTGGGCCATCGAGCTCTCCGAGTTTGACATATCATATGAGCCTCGACAGACAATCAAGTCTCAGGCGCTGGCCGATTTTATCCTGGAATTAACCCCGTCAAAAGAAAAGAGAGAAGGGAATGAAGATCTCTGGACAATATACGTCGACGGATCCTCAAACTCTAAAGGGAGCGGAGCCGGGGTCATAATTGAGAGCCCGGAGGGAGTGTCCATTGAACATTCACTTCATCTGCATTTTCGACCTTAAATAATCAAGCCGAATATGAGGCTTTCATCGCCGGAATCGTGCAAGCAAAAGAGCACGGAGCAAGAAGGATAAAAATCCTAAGCGACTCGCAGCTGGTAACTTCACAAGTTGAAAGAAAATATCAAGCGAAGGGGCCTCTCACGATGAAATATCTCCAACAAGTCAAGGAACTATTGGCCAAGTTCGACGAGGTGGTAATCCAGTACATACCTCGAAATGAAAACAGCAGGGCAGACATCCTGTCAAAACTCGCCAGCTCGAAGGGTTCAGGAAATCATCGTACTGTGATACGGCAGAGCATCCCGGAGCCGACCTGCGTCATGGTAATAACCGAGACTGAGGATTGAAGGAGGCCAATAGTGGCCTATTTGGAAAAGGGAGTCCTGCGAGACAAGACACAAGAAGCCAAAAAACTTGTGAGGAACTCGGCCTGCTTCACCATAATAGAAGGGCAACTGTACAAAAAGGTTTTCTACACACCCATGCTGAAATGCCTAAACAAGAATGAACCTGAATATACCCTGACCGAGATCCATGAAGGCATAAACAGACATCACATGGGAGGAAAAGCCCTTGCCAGGAAGGCACTGAGGGTAGGATACTACTGGCCTACTATGGAGGCAGACGCGAAGGAGCACATCAAAAGATGCGAACAGTGTTAGAAGCACGCGCTCATCCTTCGCGCACCCCCTGAAGAGCTGCAAACTATCACGGCACCATGGCCATTCTTCAAATGGGGGACGGACCTGTTGGGACCCTTCACCGCGGCTGAAGGACAGCTCAAGTGGTTGATAGTGGCAGTCGACTACTTCGCCAAATGGATCGAGGCCGAACCCCTCACTACCATTACCTCGGCCAGGATTCAGAGATTCTTTGAAAGAAACTTGATTAGCTGATTTGGAATTCCTGCCGAGATCATCACAGACAATGGAACACAGTTCGCTGATAAAAAGTTTCAGGAGTTAATGACAGACTTGAAGATCACACATCGGTTTGCATCAGTGGAACATCCTCAGACCAACGGACAAGCCGAGTCTGCTAACAAGGTGATTATCAACGAGCTTAAGAAAAGGTTGTTCGATGCCAAAGGAAATTGGGTACAACAACTGCACCTCGTCTTGTGGGGTTATAGGACAAGCACCCAATCCGCCACAGAAGAAACCCCCTTCAAGCTGACGTATGGATGTGAGGCCATGATTCCAGTAGAAATCGACGAACCATCCTGGAGGAGGGTACAAAGATTACAAGGAACTGAAGGTCAAAACAGTGAAGCACTCACTGTAGAACTCGACCTACTAGATGAATGCAGGGAGAACGCCAGATATAAGAATATGATGGCGAAACGCCTAGTGACTGCAAGATTCAATAAAATGGTCAGACCTCGGTCGTTTCAGAGCAACGACTTGGTGCTAAGGAGAGCGGACATCGGCAATAAGAATGCCAGAGATGGAAAGCTCGCCGAAAACTAGGAAGGCCCTTACAAAGTTAAGGAAAACTTGGAAAAATGAGCCTACACCTTGGAAACTATCTCCAAGAAGCCAGTAAAGAGAACTTGGAAAGCGGACAAGCTGAAGGTCTACTATAGCTAGGCCTGAAGTTCGACTTTCAAGACAATAAGACGAGCTCTTAAGCTCAATCAATAGATAGATTTATTTCTACGCAAATAGGACGAGCTCTTAAGCTCGGTCAATAGATAAATTTATTTCTACGTAAATAAGACGAGCTCTTAAGCTCAGTCAGTAGGTAGATTTATTTCGAACCAAATAAAACGAGCTCTTAAGCTCGGCCTTGCAAATAGATTTCATTTAAAATGCAAATAAACTGAGCAGTGACCTCAATTGGGTTATCAATGCATATCGATTTATATTCAAGTAATTGAAGCCTCAAGAGCTTCACGATCAAACAAAGGAATGAAAATTTTGTTGACAAACAAAAAATAATCCTAGATCGATTAACGAAACCTCGGCAAATCGCAAGTCGAGTATCACGAGATTGAAATTGAACCTCGAACATATAAGTAAAAGGGAAGTAAAGCAACGATCTTGGAAAAATAAAACCGAAGCATAAGTTTTAAAGTTGACCCAAAGCGACAAATATGTTCAGACAAAATAAAAAGGGGCTCAAAGGCCCCATAACAGAAATACATAATGAAAGTCGGCATTTTGACCCCTTCATTCAGCAACACGTAGAGAGATGGCCTCACGAGTTTCGGCTCTGGTCTCCTCCTCGCCATCAGAGTCGGAACCCAGAGTTCCGGGGACAATGGCGCCATCCTTCACGTCATACGCAACATCCATGCCATCAGTAATAAGGCCAGGGTTCAGAACCTGGGCTTGTGCAATTGCGTTCTCGAAGGCTTGGATCGCAGCATTCGCGACCACGACCTTAGCCTCATCAAAGTCGGCTTGCAGTTTCTCAATTTGAGCATCTTTATCAGCCATAGACTTTGTGAAGGTCTTCTTCTCAACGGCGGCCGACTCCAAAGCTTTCTTTGCCTCATCAAGCTCGGCAGATAGCTCTTGGACCCTCTTCTCCAACCCGGACTTAGATTTAGTGAGCTCGTCTTGCACTTTCGAAATTTCCTCCACCTTGATAGTGAGGGATGAGTTAGAAGCAGTAGACAGATCGAGCTGTTAATGGAGGTCCTGGAAGGACTGGAGCAAAGAGGACGCCTTCAGTGAATCCTCCTCCAAGTGAGTAATGAGGGACCTGACACGAGCTGTCGAACTCGTGCAAATTAAAAATTAAATCTTTAGGGTTCAGAAAATTTATAGTAGAGTGGAAACCCTAAGTCGTCTCTCTCAAGGAAATTGCTTGGGTAAAAAATCGTTTATGATGACAGAAAATAAAAGGGGGGTTTGTTTTGATTTCAGTTTGATAATTTAAAAAGGCAGAATGTAAAATTGTATGTAAAATTCGTAATTAAAAATAACCAACCTAAGGTTTAGGTTCCATGGACGTCTTTCCTCGGATAAGAGGATATCAGAATCGTGATTGATTTGTCAATTGAATCAGAATCCTTATTTCCAATTGACAACCCTCTCTAAGCGATCGCTTAGCATTTGATCAAAGACGATGCTTCTACTCATACAATCGCAGAGTATGAGCCCGCTTGATTTAAGGTCATAGGGTCAATCAACCTAATCATCAAATCTGATGATTAATCCCTTTCCATAATCGCAATCGCGAACCTCAGATTGAATATCCACGATCGCACGATATCAATCTGAGTTGGGAGGGGAAAACAAAACTGATTTGAAATAAACGCAGATCCTCAAGACTTATCCATGGAATCCATTACCCTTAGGTTGATTAAAAGATTCTTAGCCTCGCATGGCTAAGGTAAACATAATTCTAAGAATAAGAAGAAGAAGAAGAACGCAATTGAATAAAAACTCAGAGAGAACTTTTCTATTCTAAAAACTGACTGCTGAAGGGTTTCCTAGAGTCCCCCTTAAATAGCCGTCACGCAGGACGGCTAGGGTTTCACCGCTTCAGCCAAAACATAAAATAAAAGCTAAATAAAAAAATAAAACAATAAAATAAAACATGGCTTTGGGCCCTAAACACATTGGGTCCTAATGTGAATTACAAGTCCAAAAGTCAAAATAAAATTCCAACAAAACAAGTCATCTTGAGATCAAGTTTCGACCATCTTCCCGTCCGAATTGGGCTTAAGTAGCTGAAATAGCGATTGTAGCCCTATTTGTTAGCTGCAAAATGCAACAAGAACGGAGTCAATCGGAAATCTGTAGAGTGAGATATGATCAAAATACGGAAGTAGTGTAAATCTGAAAAATTATGACGAAAATCAATTAAACCCAATTAAAATCTAGAATTGTGAATTGAGCCAAAAGACCTTTATTTAATTCAAATAAATCATAAAAATATCAACCAAGAGTAATAAATAAGTGTAACAAAATATGAGTTATCAAATTCCCCCACACTTATCTTTTTGCACTCCTGGGCAAAAACAAACTAAAATTGAAAGCAAAGACTAAGATCAACCAATCCTTTCCAACAACTATGAAGCATACAGAAAATATACAAAGATCACAAGTCTTCCACAGGTAAATCAATCAGGACAGAAATTCCCTAATCTCAAATCACAAGACGTGCTAACTTCAACTGCAACTGCTAACTGCACAAAAATGGTTCCTCACAAGATGCTCTCAATTTTTCTCTCAAGTGTATCAGTTAATTCAGTATATCACTCAAATCAACTCAAGAAAATCATCCTACCATAGGCTTGCGCAAGTTCTACTTCTCCACTGCTCATAACACATGCATGCACAAATCAAGAGGGCTTTATGCAGGGTTGTAATGGGGCTGAGGTAAAGGTATGGATGAATATGGAAGAGAAAGTTAAACACCCCAGAAATTCACACAGAGCAAAAGTTAAGAACTAAACTAAGAACATAAAACAATGATACTGAAAAGATAAACATTTTTTGTTTTTTTTTTGTTTTTTGTTTTTGTTTTTTTTTGTTTTTGTTTTTTTTTTGTTTTTTCTTTTTGTTTTTTGTTTTTTTGAAGAAGTAAAACCACATAGCAGAAATGAATCAGATGGTCACCCCCCACACTTAAACTTTTGTCCGTCTCGGGCAAACCCCCACACTTAAACACAACATCACAATGAAATCAATGCTCAGTAAAACTATAGGGTGTGGAATTAATTGGTTTTTCACTTAGGCTTGTAATGCGGCTTAAGAAATAAAAGATATAAAGGCTCAAAGGGGCTCACCAAGGGAGAATAATATAAGGGACAGCTATCTGGCTAAAGTGGGTACAGAAAAGAAAGAATGCCTCAATCATATTCATGCATGCAAGTGAAAAAATGCAGTTTCAAAAAGAACAAGAGCAAGTTCTAGAGGACAACAATCAAGAGCAGAAACACATAAGAAAGAAAGCGTGACCAGAAGATATGCCATGTATGCGGGCTCAAAACCTCACAAGCATAAACCAAGTCATGCAATCAACAGCACAGAATCAATCAACAGGTAGTTGTAATCCAAGAATCAAGATCAAAGCCTAACAGATTATGCTATCAAACACTGTGATCTAAGTAATTACCAGAAAGAAAAGGAAAATCTACCTATGAAAAATCATAAACTAAAAGAAAGAAAGGAAAAGAAAAATAAAAATGCAAATAACAGAAAGAAAAGAAAAAGAAGGAAGAGAACTCCTTGAACTCCCTATGGAGAATAAGCAACATCAAGCAGACTCTCAAACTGTTCTGAGCTCTTGCTGGAACCAGTTCATTTTTCGGATTTTCCACTACAGTCACTCCAGACTTCTTGGGAACCACTTGAAACGGGCTGACCCACCAGCTATCTGAAATGGGATAAATGATGTCGGCCTGTATCGGCAATATCAGAAGCTTTTCCTCCCGCTCAGGTAGAAGGGTCTTGGCCACTATCACAGGTAACTGCTCATTTTCCTCCAGATATGCATACTTCAGATGGTCAGGTAGATCCTTCACTTCCAACTTAAGTGGCTGCTCAGTGGATGGGAGAAGTCTAGTGGGTGCAGGTTCTGCAAAAAACACATTAACATCTATGCCTGCAATCAAATTCTCAGAAATAGAATCATCAATAATTTCAACAGGCAACTCAGAATTCAACACCAATGCAGAACCATTGTGCAAATCATCATTCAATACATGATTAAAATCAGAACAACACAAAGCTATCTCAGCACAAGCAGTACAGTTACTACTATCGGTACAATCACATGACAGAGCAGAATCAAGTAATGATGATAATTCTGGATATTCAGCAGTTAAGTCAGTAGAGATATCATCCATCATTTCATCAATTACATCCATACAGAAAATAGAATGCTCTTCCCTAGGAAATTTCATGGCATCAAAAATATTAAAATTAACCATGCTATCACCAAATTCTAAGGAAAGAGTACCAGCATGCACATCTATCTTAGTCCTAGCAGTTTTCATGAAAGATCTACCAAGTATAATTGTACTACTAGGATTCTCACCCTCCATCCCTAAGACATAGAAATCAGCAGGAAAAATCAGATTGTTCACCCTAACTAATATATCTTCAACTACACCAGAAGGATGAACATTACTCCTGTTGGCTAACTGAACAACAATACCAGTAGCACGCAAGGGACCAAGACCAAGAGACTTATACACAGATTCAGGCATAACATTAACGGATGCTCCTAAGTCTAACATACAATCATGAAAAATAGAATTTCCAATAATGCAAGGGATAGTAAATGTCCCTAGATCTTGGCACTTCTTGGGCATGGGCTGGATGAGTACTGACACATTCTGGCTGACGCTGACTCGTTCATCTCCTTTCAGCCTCCTCTTGTTGGTGCATAACTCCTTCAGAAACTTAGCATATCTTGGAATTTGCTGAATCGCATCCAAGAGTGGGATATTGACCTCTACTTTTCTGAAGGTGTCAAGAATCTCTTTATCTTGAGCTTTTGCTGCTTGCTTTTTAGACTGAGTGGCTCTTTGAGGAAAAGGTAACAGGATGTGGACATCAGAAGTATCAGTATTCTGCTTCCTTGAACCAGTGTCACCTCCTTGAGATGACTTAACAGCAGATTGGTTTGGTTCCTCCAGTTGCTTGCCAGACCGCAGAGAGATGGCACTAACATTGTCGGTTCCCTTTGGATTTTGAACTGTCTGTGATGGAAGGGAGCTACCACTTGCTTGTTGATTCTGACTCATTGATGTTGCAAGTTGGCCAATCTGTGTTTGCAGATTCTGGATGGAAGACTCAGTCCTCTGCTGGAATTGCAGATTGTTAGTTGCCATCTGCTTCACTAAATCCTCCAAAGAAGGGCCATTGCTACTAGCTTGCTGCTGCACTGGTGGCTGCTGAGGGGCAAATTGTTGAAAATTTTGCCTCTATTGTGGAGGCACAAACTGCTGCCTCTGCTGGAATGGTGCACTTTGCTGATTCTGGCCCCACCTTAAATTTGGATGATTTTTCCAGGCAGGATTATATGTATTGGAGAAGGGATTGTTTTGCTGCTGCTGCTGGTGCTGTGGATTTCCAGGAAAAACTGCAGCAACAGACTGATCAACTTGGGAACCGCTGTCATATAAGGAAGGACAAGCATCCGTGGGATGAGAAGGATCACAGCAGATGCCACACGGGTTGCTTGTCTGTTGAGCAGAAGGTTGCACTGTCTGTGTCACTGCCAACTGCCTCACCATTGATGTCAACTCATCAAGCCTGTTCTCTATTCTCTGGTTATCTGTGCTTGATGCTCCTGCTGCTGCCACTATTGGATTTTGCATTGGAGAAGTTTGCACTTGGAACACTGCACTGCTGTTTGCTCTAGTGCCAAATTGTTGAGCATTAGCAGCTATCTCAGCAATCAGCTCCTTGGCCTCATTAGGTGTTTTATTGCTCAGGACTCCTCCACTAGCTGCATCCAGAAGGTTCCTATCCATAGGCAGCAGCCCTTCATAGAAGTAAACAAGCAGGAGATTGTCTGGAATTTGATGGTGTGGGCAGCTTGAACAAAGCCTTTTAAACCGCTCCCAATACTCATGCATGTTCTCTCCATTAGCTTGCCTTATGCCACTGATCTCCTTTCTGATTGAGGTGGCCCTGGATGAAGGGAAGAATTTCTCCAGAAACAATCTGGCCATGTCATTCCAGCTTACAATGGAGGAAGGTGGCAGGTAGTACAGCCAGTCCTTAGCTCCACTGTCCAAAGAGAAAGGGAAAGCACGCAGCTTGATTTGTTCCTCATCCACCCCTGTTGGCTTCATAGTGTTGCAGACTATATGAAATTCCTTCAGATGTTTGTGGGGATCCTCACCTGCAAGACCATGAAACTTGGGCAGCAAGTGTATTAGTCCAGACTTAAGCTCAAAAGGTACAACATGATTAGTATAACGAATACACAAGGGCTGCTCATTATCAACATTAGGAGCAGCCAATTGCTTAAGTGTTCTATCACCCATGATTTCAGAATCAAATAAACTACCAAACGAATAAACACTATGTAAAGGACTCGAACAAACAGACTCAATAGACTCAACAGACTCAACAAACTCAGACTCTAAGGTATGCTCAGGAACAGCTCTACTGTAAGTCAACCCACGAGCTCTACTAGCAGCATGCAATGATCTTTCTATCTCAGGGTCATATGCATATAAATCATCAACACTGGTATTACTCCTAGTCATGCATCATAGGCAAAAGCATACAGCGGTAAAATCACAAAACATACAATAAGTCACAAAAAGTAGCCGAAAATAGCAAACAGAAGCAAAAATAAATCTATGAAAAATACCAAATGACCTCAGAATGCTATGGGACCAACTCTCCTACACTCTAATTGACCTTAAGGACTCAAAAATCGAATAAATTTTT